CGAGACAACTCGAAATTTAAATTCTTTCACCAACAACCAAATTTTGTATATTCTAAAACTACAATTGCATTGGGAGCTGTCGCTGAAAGTATCCCCATATGAGGCTACTGATATACTAAACTTATTTAAAACTATCAGCGCCCATATTGCACATTTAACTATTGTCTCAGTGACACTTTTAATTGAAATAGCTGTATAACTACAGTGTGTCCCAAAAAAGTACCCTCTATAGAAAGTATCTATCCTATTGTTATAAGGGTACTTTTTTGGGGACACACTGTAGTTAATATGACGTTGCATCCCATTACAAAAAACATAAATCCAAAACACAGACACATAAAAATGAGGCGAAAAACGCATTCAAATGACGCATTTTATCCCCATATCCGTTCCCCATCCGCTCCATGGATCCGCTAGCTTCCGCATCCGCATTTTAACTAAATTGTGACATGTTTCTCAATAACAAGTCTCAATGACCTTTGACTTTATATTCCCAAGGCCAAGATCAGGTTGTTTTTTTTATGAGTCATTTTCAGCTTTTCGCAAGTATTCAATAATGTCACTTTAGATGTCAATAATTTCACAGTTACAGCAGAGTTTATTGCTAGCAGTTTTGATCAAGCTTTGATACAGATATAGATTCTCGTAAGATCTGGTGTTCTCGTTGCACTTGAATATTGCATTGTGCCATTGAACACCAGTTTGCACCGTTGTGCCAGACATGTGAACAAGGCCCGTGACTGTACACGTTGGATCGATAGCAAATGCCATACTGAACGCCATACAATGATATACAAACACTACTTCTGTTTGATAGTTATTTATGCTCTACTGATCTGATGCAATTTTTTGCTCTTCGTACTGATCGACCCTTACGAAAAAAGTCTATAGGTGGCCTATAGGTGCCTATAGGAAATGTTCCAATTCCCTATAGAAGCCTTTAGGCATCTATACAGCTCTATAGGCTTATAGGCATCCCTATAGGTCACCTATAGAAAATGTTCCAATTGCCTATAAAAACCTAGTGACCTATTCTGTGGTGTAGCAGTGTAGCATGCCTTTACAGTCGAAGTATAATGAATAGGACTAAATAAGATCGGCATTTAATTGAATGCCGGTAATGCACAACATCAATTTATATATTACGTAGCATCTCAAAGATTTTATCAATATTCACCGGTCTGAAATGTTTATGTATTTGAAAACAACGCTGTCTCGCTCCTTCCTAGCTCTGTATAATGAATATACCGTCAAAATAATATCGGCACTTCGAAGATTTTCTCAATATTTATAATTAGATCTGAAACGTTTTCTATACATTTGGAAAAAAGCACTATGTAGCTCCTTAATTCTTAGCTCTGTATAATGAATATACCGTCTAAGTAATATCGGTACTTGACTGAATGCCCGCAATGAATAACATCAATTTATATGTTGCGTAGACTCTCAAAGATTTACTCAATATTCACATCTGAAATGTGTATACATTTGAAAACAACACTGTGTCGCTCCTTCCTAGCATCGTCACGTCATCGTAATCCACGGTTTGATAGCGCATGCGCATTTGCGCTGCTAAAGAAAAAATCGAGTGTTCCGGGGTAAAGATCTTTTACACAACATGAGAAGCGAATGTTATAAAATTTACAAAAAAATTACAATAACGACAACCACTCCTCAAAATTTTTGTGAAAAGGACAAAAGGACAAAAGAATATTTAAATAAGACAACTAAAATTGCCTAAATAACCTTCAAAGCACCGACTAAATACAATAAATCACTTCGAACATAAATCGCATACACCCCCCGGAAAGTTTACACTATTATGCCTGATCCCTGACTCATATGAATTTTCCCCCACTCATCACAATAGTTGTCAAGTTTCGAAGAAACTTGACACTAAAAAGTTCCACCGGAAGTTCCAGCCGGAACCAGAACTAATATATTAAGCCATATATAGTCATATGTTACTTTGTCCGCTGCCAGACACTTCAAGTCATCAAGGAGAGAGCTCGCAAATGTTAGAATAAAAAGATTGACAAACGTTAAACGTCATAATGAAGTGTTATAGTGTTTATTTCCCTTGCGTAGTCCAAATTTCTTCCTACTGTGAACTTTTATTAGACACAAAAACGTTCGATATTTTATCTCTCTGAAACAGACAGAGTTCCGGTTCCGGCCATGCTTAGTTTTTCTGGGTGCACCCCTAACCACAACCTAATCCTAATCACAACCCTAATCCTCACAACATCATTTTGAGATAGTAATGTGGAAAGTCTCCTCAGTGAAATAATGGGATAATAGAACGCTACCTTGTTATTTTCCAACAGTTCAAAGAATTTGAGGATTCTATATTTTCTGTTTGGAGACGATGCAGCAAACATACATGCGTTTGCAAGGTTGGATTTCTCCACATCGTTCAAATATTTCTTACAGGCTTCGTCCAAGTCATAGAGAAGTCGAGGGAGTGTTGAATCTCGATTCTTTTGATCTGCCGACACATCTGAGTTCTTTTGTTGTACGCAGCTTGGCAGCCCACACTGGCCAGGGCAAGACTCTGGAGAAGAAAGCAAACAATTTGAAATAAAATAAAAACAAATAGTAAGTAGTAACATACATTCGATAGTGATACATATTCACATTATTTGTGGAATTCATCCTACAATTTTTTCAGGCATTTTTATAATGATTGACCAATAATCGGTATCGGGCCGATTTTTGCCTTATTAGTAGACAATCGGAATTGGTAGATTGTTGCACAATCGGTCAAATGTGTACAAATTTCAATCAAATTTTGTCTATACCTCTGTAAGTAAAAATTTGTTGTTTTGGGGCTAAATGTTTGCTTTAGTAGTTCAATTTTTCCTTCGTGATATATTCTGAATGCGTAATGACCTAACATGTGGGCCCACAGATCGGAAGTTTAATTATCTATTGTTTGACACAAAAAATGTAAACAAAACACACGCATGAGCAGAACAGACTTGACAGCCTCTTTAATCCTTGGCATTGCACCCTAATTTGTTATTTTACTGTCTAATAGCTAATGGCAAATTATTTCGCTAAAGGGAAGAGTGCTAGAACTCAAGACAGTGGGTCATCACACTCTGATATGCCCTACTTTGTTATTTTACTCAGAAAGAGTGATGGGCTAGAAAATCAATATCTGATGAATAACACTGTCCAGACTTCGTATATAACTGATCCCCAACCAACCCTTGATACAGTACAACCGAAATGTCACTAACTTCCATACCTGTTTGTAGATCTTGTCCACTGCCATACAAGTCTGTGGTTGAGAATTCATCACCTCTGTGGGTGCCAAGGTGTACTGACCTTCGTTTAGGAACTGGACGGCTTTTTGACTCAGCCATGTTAATCAATATAAATCAATTGCTTCATTTTCAGTTCCTAAAAATAAACATCGACTCAAGTTTCATTTCATGAAGTGTACTATATGGCTACAAACACACCTCTGTATAAATATTAGCCTTGGTCACATGCCTGACATTAATGTTTGGTCTGCACGGGGAATGAATTTCCTTCACAAAAATTTCAGCTCAATTTCTGTCCATTTGTTTTCAAGAAAATCCTGCAACATCCACATATTCAACTTGTATGTACTGAGAGCAAGCTTCATTCACAAGACCACAATTTAGTACTGAAAATGAAGCCAGACTATGCATACAATGCAGCCAGTGTGGAAAGTTTGTATTGC